CTTCGTAGATTACTGTGGCGTCATAGCTCACAGCAACCTCAATCTCGTGGGCGTAAGTGATTCTCTTGCCTCAGTCTCTTTCTTCTTCCCTGCCTAGGACCTCCCTATTCTATTTTGCACAACAAGACTAAAATTAAGCCAGTTAAAAACCCTACAATGACTTGTAAATGGACAAGTGAAAAAGAGTCCCATGTGTCTCACTTTAAGGCAAAAGCTAGAAATGATTAGCTTAGTGGGGAGAGCATGATGAAAGCTAGGCTTCTTATGCCAAACTGTTTGCCAAAGTTATGAATGTAAGCAAAAGTTCTTGAAGAAAATTTAAGTGCTTCTCCAGTGAACACATGAATGCTAACAAAGAAACAGCCTGTTCCTGATATGGAGAAAGTTTTAGTGCTTGTAATAAATGATCAAACCAGCCCCGACACTGTCTTAAGCCAAAGCCTAGTGCAGAGCAAAGCCTTAACTCTTTCCAATTCTCTGAAGGCTGAGAGAGGTGAGAAAGCTGCAGAAGAAAAGTTTGAAATTGGCAGAGGTTAGGTCATGAGGTCTCTGTAACAGAGAAGTGCAAGATGAAGCACTTCTGTGCTAGCAAGTGCTGATACAGGAGGTACAGCAAGTTATCCAGATATAGCTAAGATTGTCGATGAAGGTGGGTTCACTAAACAACGGATTTTTGAGATACATGGAATAGTCTTCTGTGGGAAGCAGATGATATCTAGGACTTTTATAGCTAGAGAAAAGTCAATGCCTGGCTTCAAAGGACAGGTCAATTCTCTTGTTAGATGACTTTAAGTTAAAGCCAATGCTCATTTACCATTTCAAAATTGTAGGGCTCTTAAAGAATTATGCTAAATCAGGGCTAGCTGTGATGGCTCATACCTGTACTCCTAGCACTCTGGGAGAACAGTGGGGGAGGATTCTGATGTCAGCAGTTTGTTTGAGACCAGCTAGAGCAGTAAGAGACCTTGACTCGAAATTTAAAAAGAAAAAAAAATAATTATGCTAAATCTACTCTGCTTGTTCTATAAATGAAACAGCAAAGACTGGATGACATCACATCTGTTTTCAGCATGGTTTGCTGAAGATTTTTAACTCACTGTTGAGACCTACTGCTCAGAAAAAAAGTTCCCTTCAAAATATTATTGCTTATTGACGATATACTTAGTCACCCAAGAGCTCTGATGAAGATGTATAGGAGACAAATGATGTTTTCATGACACAATATCCACTCTGCAACTCATGGATGAAGAGTATTTTGACTTTCACATCTTATTATTTCAAAAAAATATTTTGTAGCTGCTGTAAGTAGAGTGATTCCTCTGATAGATCTGGGCAGAGTAAACTGAAAAACTTCTGGAAAGTAATCACCATTCTAGGTGCCATGAAGAACAGTCTTGCTTCATGGGAGGAGGTCAACATATCAACGTTAATGAGATTTTGGAAAAAGTTGATTCCAACACTTATAGATGACTTTGACAGGTTCAAGACTTCAGGAGAGGTAGTAATTGCAGACGTGGAGAACTAGCAAGAGAACTAGAATTAGAAGTGGAGCGTGAAGATGACTGCATTGCTGTAATCTCATGATAAAACTCAAATGGATGAGGAATTGCTGCTTATGAATAAGCAAAGAAAGTGGTTTCTTAAGATAGAATCTACTCCTGGTGAAGATGCTGTGAAAACTGTTGAAATGACAACAAAGCATTTAGAATATTGCATAAACTTAGTTGATAAAGCACTGCAAGGTTTGAGAGGATTAACTCCAATTTTGAAAGATATTCCAGGCTCAGTGGTTAGGGCACCGGCCACATACACCAAGGCAGGTGGATTCAAACCCAGCCCAGGCCTGCTAAACAATAATGACAACTGTAACAAAAAATAGCCAGGTATTATGGAGGGCACCTGTAGTCCCAGCTACTTGGGAGGCTGAGGCAAAAGAATTGCTTAAGCCCAAGAGTTTGGGTTGCTGTGAGCTGTGATACCATAGCACTCTACCAAAGGCAACAAAGTGAGACTCTGTCTCAAAAAATAAAGAAAAAGACATTCTAGTTCCACTGTGGGTAAAATGTTGTCAAACAGCATCTCGTTCTACAGAGAAATCGTTCATGAAAGGATTCT